AAGTATGCAGTAAGTTATTATAGTGAATGCGTAATGATGATATAAATCTAAATTCAGCAAACAATCTTTCCCTTACTTTAATGTTTTAAAATCTAGAATTAAAAGGAAAAATGTATGTTCTTTAAATAATACAAGAGGATATGGAGGCATAAATCATAGGCTGTTTATTCTTTACATATTATGCTAATCAGGAATTGCAGCAAAACCCTGCTTAATCGAAGAATACGCTCACAGGAATGGTGGAGGAAAATTGAACTGTCCAATATTTGTTTTGCCCACCACCAAGAAGCCTGGGTATACATAAACAGTATAGAGTGAAATAATTGTTTTTAGGAAATACATTTAAATATCTTTGACAGAATATGTCAGTTTTAACTTGTACTATAATAAATAAGCATGAAGTTCTTATGCTATTAAATGTGTATTGTCACATGGAAATTTTCTATCTTGTCTCACGGAAGGGAAACATTTGACTTTTTGGAAGAAACTGAATTTCGATGCAGTAAATCTTATTGCTAAGTTTAAGATAAATTAAGTGCAATGCTAATTTATAGTGACTTACTATTGTAAATCATGACTGGCATACCAACACTGAAAATATATATATATCGAGCCTATTAAGTTATTTCTGGTAGTCAAGAGTTTTTAAACATAAATGATGGAAACAAGAAATTCAGAGGGAAGAACAATAATGATAAAAGTTGTCAGTATGCATTTGAAACCAGGACAAATAAAATTATTTAGGATTATCAATTAAAATAATTTAGGGTTGTGAATTTAGTTACAGGTTTAAATATAAACCATGGCTTGTGGGTCCCCAAGAATATATTATGAAAGTAATTTTTTCATAATATATTCTTTATTATCCATGAAGGGGGTTTCACCTTTGCCAGAGGTTCATTGTTGCCCACTTTGGGTTTTTATTATCGAGTTTCAAAATTTAAAATTAATTCATTGTGCAATGCAATTTCAACATGCACTGACTGAAAACTTTCTGAAGGTACCAACTCATCATCTTCAAACACATCAATCTCAGGATTTTCAACACAATACCTTAAGCATATATTATGTAAAATGGCCACCAGATATGACCATTTTACATATTTTGCTTTGTGAATACAATAGTGTTCCACCAGTATCGTGCAGTACCCTAAATCTTGATTTGATCTCTATAGCTGCACGAACTTTTCTGTGCTTCTCATTATAGAGATATTCCCGTGATAAAATGGGAATATAATCCACTATCTCCCAAAGATATGCACGATGCGACAAAATACTATCTAGATTTTGTTTCGAGTCCACTCAAACTCCATATAAATGCATCATGAGTATTGCCTGGCCATTGTCCTATAGCATAGAGAACCCTCAGACCAGCATCCATACCTAGAAAAACATAAATCCTAAGTCAAAAGAAAGAAAGTTTCATCTGAAATTTTAATACACAGATTTTTAACATTAAATATAGTTGATATATTAATAAATCAGTCTTTTTAAGGAGTTTACTTTCCATTTTTAACAAAAATATGTCACTGTTTTTTCATTATTAAAAATATGCAATAAAACGTTAAAACAAAACACAAAACAAAAAAAAAAACATTATAGCTACCCTTTTTTCATTAAATTGTAGTAAATAGGTGATTCTAAAAGCTTTTGTATTATTTAATATCTATACTTCACTATAATTATAGTATAGATAGCTTTTTGTTATTATTATTTGAATAATAATAATAAAACATTCTTGCAGTAATTTGAAATGACTATAATATTATACTTATTATCATATATTTCTTACCTTTTCACCATTAATGGAAAATTTATTTTTCCGGTTAATGAAGACAAAACAAAAATTAATATCACACCACACTCGCAACATCTGCGGTTTCATTTGAATGTAACCCAAAATAATTCTTGGTAAGCTAGGTAGAATCACATTTGTGATTGCACTCCAGTTCTTTTACAGCTGGTCGAAGAGAATTAACATCTACAGTATGTGGAAATAGCGAACAAAACAGTAAGAAATTGGAACAATTACCTGTGGACAACTTGTATTCATAGCATTCTAAAATGAGCTTTTGGTAAAATTTGACCGCAAATAAAACAGTAGTAATGAACGAATGTTTTTTCACGAAGTGGGTCCAATACTTTCACAGCAGGGTTATTTCATGTATTCTGCAGAGAGACTGATGTATGGTTTGTTGTAACTGCTGTATACAAATGTCTGGCTCAGAATTCCACAGCAGTAATTAGCACAACTTTCATGGTTGATGGTATAATATGGAGGTACCAAAAATTAGTATTATCACAGTAACTGCAAGATGGCTTATATTTCTAAAACTCAGTTAACACATTTCATGCAGAAAGAAAATATTATCCAGTTTCATACTTAAATCAAGGTCACTGAAATGTGGTAAAAGCAATCTGCTTAAGAAAACAGATGCCTCTGTAGAGGACTTTCTATGGAAAACTGGCTTTCATTCCCATTATACATGGGCAAAACCAATGTCATGTAATATAATAATCTATTAGTACAGTAAATACATTTAATTTCTTTTTATTTATGTCATGCTGCTTTTCATGTAATTTAGTATGGTAACCTTATAAGTTTATTTAATTCTGATCATGGTCTACGGAAGTAAGGTAAGTCACCTGTTATCGAGAATATCAAGTTATTAATATTTATGTGAAAGTCTGCAATAACTTTTCATATCATAAGAGATTTACGAATGTGTATATAACTTACATGTGTAGTTATTATGCAAGATCTATAGAAAGTATCCAAAATTACCATGACATTAATCACACTGTACGAACAGGCAAGACATTATACATTAGGAGAAAATTAACTAATATTTTGGGGGATGAAATACTATTTTACACATGGGAACTGTTTTAAACAGCTGAGAAAAATTCATGCTTTTTTCCCTACAGTTACAGAATATATATATATATTGTTTCATAAGAATAAAAAGTAAAGTTAAATTTAAATAATTCTCATGCGCCATTGCTGCAAAGAATTAAATTTGAATTTAACAAATATTCTCTTCATATAAAGTTAATTTAAATTATGAAATTTTAATTGCATACATATCAAAGATTAATTATTGCTGCAAATTAATTTACTATATCACTGAAATTCTGAGAGCATATGTAAATTAAATGCACGTATCTAAAACCATGAAAAAATATATTATATTCCAAAAAACTAATCCCTAATATATACATATATATATATCTCAAAGACAGGCATATGCATAATTTCTGTTAGAGAAACAGTTTCTCCGAGATTACGTTTTAGAGTAATTAAAACGATAAATTAATGGTGATATTATTACTGCATTCCAAAATTCGCAGTAATTAACGATTTCGATCATTACTACGAAAAAAAACGGGATGAAAAAGAAAGAATCCTGATACAATAACATTAAAAATTTGTGTGTTTACGTATAAAAATATATAATATTCTCAAATAGGTCATTTAAGCATAGTCTTTGATTCGGAAACATTTCCAGAAGTATTTCAGTTTTCATAATCTAAAGTAAAAACAAACCTGCTTTTGCAGAGAATATCCATTGGCAGTTGCCTTCAGAAAAGGTTTCAATTCATTGAAGCAAACCGATTTAATCTGAATCAACTGATGAATTCACGCTCCGACATTTCAAAAGCATTACGACTGTCTCTTAAATGCCAAGGAATTTGATCAGCATTTCTCCGATATCTTAAACGTCTGAGCAAAATCACTTCAGCCATCTTGTTTACAGTCGCTGTTAAGAGTTTGCGGCAGGTCAGGAGTAGCCGCAAAATTCCTCTATGGTAGTGACGTATTTTCAGTAGGCGTGTCCGAAAAGCGTTGCACTTGAATCCGATTTTGCAATGCAAGTGCGATTACCATGACAAGCGTTGCACTTGAATTCGCCCCTTAGTTATACATTGTTCTCTACTAAGAATCAAAAGTGAAAGTTCTCATCTTTCACGTAGTTCGGATGTCACGTGACCTCCCTGCGCGTTTGGGGTTTTAGCGCTTGACACTCATATAGAGCAAGGTTTCTAAAATATCCTATAAGAAAGTATTTTACTGATCTTGATGTAGAGTGTTGCAGCAATGATTGCCATCGTGAAATTGCAACAAACAAAATCACCAAAAACCCGTACTCTCGTCAGCCAAAGTAACACCAATAATTCATGAAGTCGACAAACCGGCAACTTTGAAACTGGTTATACTTGTCTCGCTTTGTCGAAATTTTGGTTTTCCGCCCTTTTTTTTAAATACATTGTATTGAATTTCCTATCCAATCGCTAATTTTTCGGATGGACGCGGTATAAATGGACTTTAAGCTCAACATCGTACCTTTAAAACTTCCATTATATGAGCTTTGAAATGATTCTTTTTGAAAAATGATAATTTTAAAAGTGAAACCTTTAAAAAGTGTGTTTATTCATAAAATGTGGTTTACTGAAAGCTTTGTTATTGTGATTTTCCTCTTTCATAACGTATGCTCTAGTTGTGTTTTCCAGGATCAGGGTGGTGAATATGACCTGTCGTTATTAGATTGGTAAGTGATATAAATGTGGTTTAAAATTATACTTCCATTTTGGCTTATTTTTCGTACACCAGGCTGTTTGCGATTTTTCCCCATCACTTTAGACGACGCTAAATCATGCGATATACGAGGCAGAGATAATTTTGATTGTGTTACTTTCCCTAAAGGTTTCCCTCCGTAGTTCAGGGAACTTGCCAATATTTCACATTGTTTGATACTTTGGATTTTGCCGGCATTAGCAAGAATTTAACTTGCTTTTTCCGACACCTGATGTATTCCCCGGGTGAAGTTACCACATGTACAAAGCCTCAAGGAGCTTTCCAATAGGAAATTCTAATATAATTGAGAAAATAAGAAACCCTAGTCTGAGGAGTGTTTCAGAGGGAAACATTTTCCCTTTATACTGAACGGAAATTACTGGCTAGGATGAGAAGTCTCGAAGACCGTTTTCTCAGTCGGAAGCTTAAAAATATTAAGTGTATCAAGTATCAAAGGTTTTTGTCTTACTCTAAATGTTTCATGAAGTTTTAAATATGTTTTATAAGAATAATTCTTATTTTTTGGAACGTATTCTTTAAGTATGTAATATTTTTGTGTAAAAGTAGAATTTTATGATATGATATACAATGTTAGAGCCAGTGTTTTTAAAATTAACCCGGTGGAAGGCCCCGCGCTAAACAGAGCACATTTTGGTCGCGCGGGGTACCTGTATAACCCCACCGATAAATTTAAGCTTAATTCAATATACACATATAAACTTAAGTGCAAATAAATTGAAAAGGTATAAAATACAGTTTTTTTTAGTATATTCTAAAGCATGAATATTAATTTGAAAATATATTTACGTTAATTTCTACTACTAATGTTTATAGGAAAAAACTTACTCAATTACAAAATAAAAATCATTTACATACCTTTATTGAATTTTAAACACATTTGTCACAAACATAATTAGAGTGATCCTTGCAAGTAAAATTTTGGCATTTCATACAAGAAATTGTTGTTTTTTTGTCCTTAGCTCGAGGACATATTGTACATCGTCCTTTTACCAAGCTTCATTCTCTTTGGCAAGTTCTCTTCAGAAACGGCATTCCTTTCTGTTGAGAAATTCTGATTCATTTTCTCTCGTAATTCTCTGGGTAACATTTGCATATTTGATCTCCTCTTTATTTGTGGGTAAAAAATCACCATAGGCCACCTGTTTGTTTTCCTAGCTGTTGAATAAAGCGTAGACATTTCATCAACAGTATCTACTCCTCCTTTCGTTCCATTGTAGAAATGGATTATTTCTGGCTTACTTTGTTCAGAGTTTTCATCTATCGTGTCATCATGATGCATTGTAGACAGAAGAACTACACATTTCGATTTCTTTGGAACATATGATACTAATGTCATGTCTTTTTGGAATCCAAACATGGAAGAATATACTTCTCTTTTCTTTGTTTCTAAAAATTCAGCAGGAACTACAGCTTTATTTTCTTCAAAGTTCCCACTACAGTGAGTTTCTTTGATAGGGACTCTTTTGCTAGCGGGTAACTTGTATACCAATTATCCATGGTTATATTCCTCCCAGATCCAAATAATGGAGCACAAAGTCGTTTTACGATCTCAGATGGCGAATAATCAACTTTGAAAGGACCATCCGATTGTTTTCCCCGCATAAATTTCCATATTATATGTATAATATGTCCTGGCATCGACTACGGCAAATAATTTAATTCCATATTTTGCCGGCTTTTTCGGCATATACTGGCGAAAAGCACATCGGCCACGAAATTTCTCCAACTTTTCATCTATTGTAACATATTCACTAACTGAATATATTTCTTGACATTTTTTTATTGAAATCGCTGAAGAAATCTCTCACAGCTGCCAGCTTATCCAACTGTCTTCGAGCTTCGCGATCGTTTACATTGTCTAATCTCAAGCACCTTAGAAGAAAAGTGAATCGTTTGTAAGACATTGTTTTCGGAATAATTCAATTCCGGTGCCATCAGCGTCCCACAAGTCTTTTGCATAGCATGAGAAGATTTATGCAATCCGCATAAATATAAAAGACCAAACAGTGCTCTCATCTCCACTTCATCTGTATGCCTAGCATCTCGACTCCGTTGAAAATTTTCGGATATTTTATCAATAAAAATATTGGTGCAGTCCACAATATTTTTTATAATATTGAAATCCATAAAAAGTTCCCAACTTTCAATTGGTTCCATAATACTTATTGCAACTGATTTCAGACCTGGTAAGTGGGTTATAATATTACAGGAACTGGTTCTTACCTTCTGATTCGGTTTACTTTTCTTCCAAACTGTTTTATTTTTTCCTATATAACTGTCACTTTTTTCATTAGATTCAAGCGTTTTATTTTCAGCTTCAAACTCACTGTCGCTGTCATGACTGCCTATAAATTTCTTGATCTACTTCATTTTCACTAGCAGTATCCATTTTCTTCATCGGAAGTTTCCACAGTATCCAATAACATTCTCAAGTGTTCCATTTCTTTTTTCATAATCTGTCATTTTTCGTTTGAGAGCCATTTCGAACGACTACAGTATAGCACACATGCACAATCTATGCAAGCAAGAAGCTAAAGTGAGAAATTTCAGAACAATCTGGTCACGGGGGTTTCCCAGGTTACCCCAGTTGCAAATGTAGCGTTCCAAGAAATGATTGCTCCTCCCCAACAAAAGAAAAACACCTGCTGCTGGCAGGTGCTATTGAAAAGAAAACCGTTTAAAAGTTAGCTACTGAAGGCTGATCATAGCGGATAAATAGAAATTCCAGAATGAAAGGTTTTATGAGGCTGGGTGACTCAGTCACCCCGCGCGAGTGCTAACCGGTTAACATAATACTGGAAAGCTTTACAAAAGGCATCCATGCAGAAATATGCAAAAGGACCTATGCAGTTTGAAAGTAAAAAATATACATGAAATATTTGAGGGACTTAATTATTTTAATGCGTATAAATTTGTTTGTTTAGCTATATTATTCTCAGTATCTTTTTTTTCTAAGTATGTGTTGAATACCGTTATATAAGATAACCGGATGGAAGAGCTTAAAATAATTTTTTCACATATGCAGTCATGCAGTTCAAACAATGCTTTCAAAAGTGACAAATGAGCAATAATAGTGGATGAATTTTATAGAGAATTTTTTTCTGTGTAAAATTTCTATAGTTATCTGTATCATAGCTAATGTAAATAAGATACCTATTTTGTTTCTTTATGTGAAAATGTCCCACCTGAGAGCCAGATAACAAAACTTCAGCATTTACTTATTTAATTATATGTAACTTGAAGTACAGTTTCTAAATTAAAAGCTTTCAAAATTGAATAATTTAAGATCTGATCTGCAGTATAAAATAAATAAAAATATAGTTCATTATGTTCATTGAAATGTACAGGGACTGATATACAAAATGCTCTTTCTCTTTCATTCATTGTTTGAGTTCTTTTCCTTGAACAAGATTTCTTTCCATACTATGTTTTTCTCAAAATTTTATCTTCTTTCCTTTTGTTAATTTTTTTTGGCTGGAGGTGCCTCATCATCTGGTCTATCGTTTTTTCTAAAAAATATTATGGTTTGTTGGTATTCTGCGCTGTTGAGTAGTTGTTACAAAGAACAAATTTATTGTTTGCGTTTTGGGAACATCTTTAACCCTTTTGAGGCTGGGGCTTTTGGTAGCAGTAAAAGCTACCAAAGGACGGGAAATCTTGAACTGAATGCTTTACCCCCTCTAAGAAATCACCTCCTATTTACAACAAAGATTCTTGTGTGTAGTTTAATGGATTCCCAGAGCATCTATGTCGCAAAAGGAACACCTTTGAAAGAGATAAGTGTTTAAAACCCCAGGGACATCAAATTTGACATTTCACCCCACTTTTCAGCCTGGTAAATGGGGAAAAAAGACATGGCCACTAAAGTTTACAACCCCGTCTTTTCAAAGAGAGGACTGTATGGCCACTATAATGGCCATCCCGTCTTCAAAAGGTTAAAGGATCTTAAGCATTCAGAGAACATCTTTGACAGGATCTTAAGCACCTTTCTACAACAGTATTAACCTCAGTTTTTGAATCATCTTTAAGTTAAATTATCAGGAGGTCATATTAAAAAGTATCACTAAAAATCTGTTGTAAAATTATGTGCTGTTATCTTATTTAATTTAAAAAAATCTCAAATGTTTGACTAAGTGATTAATAATGGAATCATTTTTTAAAATATATATGCTGTGATTAAATACTGCTTTATTATTTGAACTGTGCTAAAGATAATTGGAGGTTTTAATAAGGAAAAGGTGAAAATTTGCATAACAAGCATAGCTGATTCTTGTGTAGTCTGTGGCTGACATATTGCCATGAATGTTTTCAGTATAGGATTAAAGTATTTTCGGAATTATGTTAGCAGAACATACGGTTTTCTTTCACTTGTAAATTTTCACATTTCACATTCTAACTTTAATTGATTTTGTTGACACACAGTTTCATTGTATGCCTATTTTGACATATTTGAATGCAATACAAGATGCCTTTTTTTGGGGGGGGAAGGAAGAAGAATACAACACCTTTTCCAATCCTTAGCAAATAAACCACATTTTGTGGGAAAAGACTGAAAACATGATACTAATGTAGTGATAATATTACAGTAATAATAATAGCCTACTGAGAACTCTTCTTGTGACACGCAGAGTGTTTGGCTGTTTGGTCGCAATTTTGGACATACATTGGAAATATATCGATAATCTTGATGCTGCTTTCAATAAGTGTGTCTGTAGTAATAAAAGTATCCTAAAAAGTCGTATAAAACTTTCGGTATTTGTTGTATTTAACATTAGCAAGAACAATGGTGAATTTTTTTAAGTTAGAATTCTTTGTACTTTCTGATTATCTGCATTGAAATGCATTATCCAGTCGAAAAAAATATGACTTCATTGCCGATTTCAAAGAGCATTTGCAGTTGTCAGCAACTAATTTTTCACAAAGTTAATTGTGAGAACAATAGCAATTTTCAAA